GTCCGTTGATGAAACGTGGCTCCCATCCACAGCCTCCCGGTCTTATTCCTTCGGGTTTACACTGGATATGGGATGTGTGGTTGGAGCTGTGGGTGGTGCAGCGCAAGCCACCCATGGTCCGTCAGTAGGCGCAGGCGTGCTGTGGCTGGCCACAGTGACAGGCAAATACGAAACGGGATGCCGCCAACCACACATATATATTGTCTTCTAATTTCAAATCACACACAATCGGAGGGCCTCGCTCCAATCCAGTCGACAAGCCCATGTTCAACCAAGCGGACAACGTCAGTTCATCCGTTACCCTTTGGAGTCCTCGTGTCTCGCTAAGACTGGCATGCCTCAACATGCGCACATTGCTGCAGATTGGCCAACAGGCAGCACTTGCCCGCACACTAGACACCCTATCGATCGATATTTGCTGTTTATCAGAAACCCGCCCGCAAGGTTCGAGCTCCGTGCTTACCCTGAGATCCCCTACATGCGACACTTGCGGCACATTCTAACTGCGCTTGTCTGGCGATGATTCAGCTATAAATGCCGCTCAAGTTGACGTCGGGATTGTTTTGAGTCCCCGGGCTGAGGCTACCCTGATTGATTTGATCCCAGTAAACAGTAGGATGTGCGCCGTTGGATTAGCTGGAACGTTCCGTGCTACGAAGTCGCGCGGGGACAAACGGTGCCTGTTTGTCATTGCGGCCTACGCCCCTACAAACCGTAGCACTGATTCGGTAAATGATGATTTCTATCAGCAACTTCACGAGATCCTTCGTTACAGAAGAAGCACGGATACTGTGGTGTTTGCTGCTAATCTAAACGCCCGAGTCGGAAAGTTGTCCTCTGATGAGCTTCATCTGGGCGGCCAACATGGTGTAGGCTCCCGTAATGACAATGGTGAACGATTTCTACAGCTGTGTGAAGATGCTCGTCACTTTCTCGCGGGCACTAACTTTCGACACAGCACCCGCAGAAGCGTGACTTGGCGGCCACCAGCCTCGGGCCAGCCATGGACGCAAATCGATCATATCGCGATCAGTTACCGCTGGACAGGCAGTGTCCAAAACTGTCGCTCGATTTCGAGCACGAGCGTGGACACTGACCACGCACTTGTCTGTGCCTACCGCCTGGTGCGTTTCGGTGGACGTCCGCAACATCGATGTGAACGGATTGACACCAGCCAGCTGGCGAAGCCAGATGTTCTGAATGTGTACCAAAGTGCGCTGACATCCGGGCTGAGTAAGCGCCCAATAAACACTGTTGAAGATCACTGGTCGCATATTCGTCAAGTGTTGCTGTTAGCAGACATGTCTTCATGTGGCAAAGCAAATTGCAAAACCGGATATTGGGTCTCTACACAGTCTCTGGAACTTATGGATGCTCGCCGACGTATTCCGGCTGGAAGCGAATAAAATGAGGCTCGCAAAAAATCTCAAGGCAAAACTACGTGCTAGCCTGAAGAGAGACCGCGAAACCTGGTGGTCTCATCGTGCCACTGAGATGGAAACTGCCGCCGTCGTTGGTAATTATCGTAAGTTATTCCGTCTGATATGGGAAAAAGGCAGCAGGAAACCTGGTGTTAGCGAGAAGATACGCGACGAGAGTGGGCAGCCGATCCACAGCCTGTCAAAACGCTTGGAGCGTTGGGCTGAGCACTTTGCAAGGCAATTTATCCAACCTGATTTATCGCTTTCTTCTTCAGACATTGAGCGCCCTTCTCTCTGGGCCGTCTCCTTAAACCCGCCCTCACGCGCAGAAGTCTAACGTGAGATCAGGCTGTTGAAATTGCATAAGGACGCAGAGGCAGATAGAATTCCCAGAGCCCTCTTCAAATTCGGGGGACATGCTCTAGTAGATGATTTACACGAGTTGCCGGTAAAATTTGGGAGCAGAAGATAGTCCTGACAGACTGGAACCGCTCCGTCATTGTCCCAATTTTCAATGGAGGCTCTCGTTTGGAATGCGGCAATCATAGAGGGATCAGGCTGATTTCGATTGCCGCTAAATTGCTTGCCTCTGTCATTCTCCACAGACGCACTCGTGAAAGCCAGATTCGTGAAGAGCAAGCCGGATTTCGTCGAGATCGGGGCTGCATCGACCACATCTTCACTTTGCGTCAAGTGTTGGAGTACCACATGTTTATTGGCGACCCACCGTTGTCGTGTTTCTTGACATAAAAGGTGCCTTCGACTCAGTCGATCGATGTGCCCTTTGGGACTGTCTGCTGAGGAAAGGTGTGCCTGATAAATATGTAAACATTATCAAAGCGCTGTACGCGCATAGTTTGGGCAGGGTGAGGGTTTCGGGCAAACTGTCGCCACCCTTCGGTATCACCAGCGGCGAGACAAGGATGCCCGCTGTCACCTTTCCTCTTCAACCTCGCTATTGATGAAGTCAAAGAAACAGTGTTTGCTGGACAAGACGTAGAAGGTGTGGAGCTACTTCCTGGCGAGCGCCTTCTTGACTCGGAGTATGCGGACAATATTGCCATAATCTGTGACAGCTCCCAAACATGCCAAAGAGCACTGGACCGATTAGCACTGGCTGTCGATCGTTTTAGGCTATTTCATGCAGAAGATTGTGGTACCGATTACGCCAAGCCATAAAAAGGTGCTACTACGCAGCTGAGCTCGTGTTGTTACATCAAACCAAGAAGCTGTTCCATGAATCCAACTTGGATAGGCCTCACTCTCAGGTTACCGCCTCATGTGTTTACCAATTCACCTGTACTTGCGGTAGCATGTACATTGGCCGAACCGAGAGAAGGCTATCAACTAGGATCATGGAACACGCTCAACGGAACCTGGCAAATAGTGGACCTAAACTCCCTGCCAGCTCCATCGCTCAGCATCTGCTCGATTGTACCTTGTGCGAAAACCCACGTGCCGCATTCAAAGTTATCAGCAGACAAAACAACGTGAGCTTGCTTCAGTTCGCTGAAGCCTCGGCCATCAGACGAATGAAACCGAACCTTTGCAAACAGATAGACTTTGTGGCCAGTCTTGCTTTGCCCTGGTAAGACGCAGGCAATGACCTTGGTTCGCTCAGTGTTTTATTGATATTCCCATTGACACCTTTTCAATCGCATTCCTTTACTCTTTCCACGATTTGTCTGTAAGCGGCTGAATGAGAAGACACGAAATAATCTGAATTCAGGTTATACCGCAGAAATGCTGTTCGTTCTTGCTCTCTTGAAATTTCTTAAGAGAAATGGCTGCATGGAATTCTTAAAGAAACGCCTCCATCCTGACAAGTTTCGTTCACTGGATAAAGTAGTGTCTTTACGTTGTTCCATTTCGCGAGAAGCCGCACGTATTGATGCTTATAAGGAATGCATAATGGTGTCGATGTATCCGCGTCGGTTTGTCAAAGCACAGAGAAATGACCATCAGCAAGTTAATTCTCGGAATTTGCAACGATACACGAAGCTTCAGATTGAGGCTTCTGTGCATCGTATCACACAGTTGAAAGCCAGTGTTGGATGCTTTGAATCTCTCCTGAATAATCTCAATCTGGTTTGTCGCATGAAATTATATAATTTCCTGCGGGACCTTCAAGTCAAAACGAGATTGTCAACAAGACAGCAAATTTTGGACTCTGTCCGCTGAGCGGTTGTATGACCAAGTCCAGCTTAACCCGCAGAAATATGTTGTGAACTTGTCCAACATACCGCTTAGTCACCACCAAATCGAAGCGCTATCGCTGGGTTTCAACTTCTCTGTTCCCCCTGGTAAATGTGACCGCATAGGGGTTGAAGAACAATTTGAACACCTACAAGAGCAACTTTCTGGTCTAACTCCGTCAACTGCAGACGCGAGTAGTTGATTTAAAGCCAAGGCAGTAGACTTGGCTAGCCAATTTTGCATCACAGAGGCAGAAAAGTCATGTTTTCTCACGAAGAAACATTTTGATTCATTGCAACAGCTGCGCCGAAATGAGAATGTTGTGTTGCTGATACCTGATAAAGGCTCTGGCGTTGTCCTCATGAGTAGAAATTATTATCTTCAAAAGATGCAATCGGTGCTCATGAACGGGGGTAGATTCGTTAGAGATCTGATAGGGAAGGATAGAACGGAAAAAATAGAGAAGTTCAGTTCAGATGGGGACTGGAAGGATAGGAGAATCCCGTGAGTGTTCCATCTTGAGTGGATCGTTGAGCCAGGAATTGATGAAGTGCAGTTATTGATGGATCTAAAACGGAAACACCCGTATCGCACCCTGGCCAACCAGTTAATGCCCACGTTTCCTGCCCTAGCAGTCCCTGCTGTGGTAGTCACGTGAAGTAAGCAAAGGGTAGGAAGAGAAATCGAAGGTACAGAATAAGGAAGTGCACTTAAATAAGAAAATAATACCAAGGCGTGAAGAAAAGTATAGCAAAGAAAATCGAAGTACGAAGATGCGAGTTACTCAGGAAAATGGAAAGGTTTCGTGTTGCCACCCAAGAACGTCAAGTTGCCGCTCAAACCCTTTAACCGTAGATCCCCTGATAACACTTTTCGGAAGCATGTTCCAGCGGTCGATGACTCTGCGTGACAGCCGGATTTCCGCCCTAATCCGATCGGACCGCGGTTTGTCCAGCTTCAACGAATGACCGCGTAGAACAGACAATCTAGCGGGACTGAATAGCCAAGACAAATCTGGACCAACCTTCCCAGTCAAGATACGGTAGGTTAGGATTAGGTCTCCTCTAAGCCTTCGGTAGTGCATTGGATGCATTCCCAAACTAAGTAGACGCTCGGGGTACGTCCGTCCCCGTAATCCCTCGACTAACCTAGTACCCACTCGTAAAACCCTCTCTAGCTCCATTTTGTCCCGGACGAGGCAGGGCGGACAAGCCTGGACGCAGTATTCCAGATGAGGGCGAACGAAAGCCGAGAACAGCCTCGTAAAGATGCCGCCCGTCAAGCCTCCGAAAGAACGTCGGATTAACCACAACATGCGGAAACCTCTGCTTGCGGCCTTCTTCCAGTTGTCGCCGGAGTGTAAAGCCGAAGAGTGTACGACGCCTAGGTCAACCTGGCTAGATACACGGGGAGTAAGACCCCACCGACCAAGTACTTCGCAGGAGGACAACCTCCTCCAATTCGAAGAACGGAGCACTTTGCTTGATTTATGGGCAGTAACCATAAAGTAGACCAGTCCCAAAGCTTATCCAATGCTCGCTGAATAGCTTCTGAACCCCCAGGAACATAAACAATGTTCCACAGCTTCAGGTCATCAGCAAATAGCAGCGATGGTACCTCAAGCTCCGCGGGTAGGTCATTCACATAGATAGATAACAACAGCGGTCCAAAGACCGAGCCCTGCGGCACGCCGCTGAGGACAGACTGCCCAAATGATAGGCCCCGGCCTACCCGTACACACTGTTCTCTACCCTCCAAGAAGGCAGTCACCCAATGAAGGGCGCGGCCAGATACCCCGTAAGAGGACAGCTTTTGCGCGAGCCTCAAATGGGGTACCTTGTCAAATGCCTTCGAAAAGTCGACGAAAAGCACGTCCAATGTGTGGCCGTTATCCACTGCATCCGCCCAATTTTCGCGAGCCAACAACAGATTCGTCAGACACGAAAATCCCTTCCGGAATCCGTGTTGCACATTGTTAAGTAGATTAAATCTATTCAGATGACTCTCCAATGAATGTCTCACCAGTTTCTCGAGGAGTTTGACTACTACACTCGTCAGACTAACTGGCCTGTAATTTGCAGGCAGACCCATGTCCCCACTTTTGAAGATGGGACAGATGACAGCTTCCTTCCATTCGGAAGGCAATGCACAAGTGGCAAGCGATTTCTGAAACACAATAGCGAGCGGTCCACTTAGTTCCGCAGCCAACTCATGCAACAGTTTCGGGTGAATTAAATCTGGCCCAGAGGCCATAGAAGGGTTCAGCCCTTGTAACAGCCTACGAACTGCAGTCTCCGCTACAATAAATTCAGATAGTTCTGAACCTTCTGGGGTTCTGCAAACTAGCTCAACGCCTGTCAAAGAGGTTTCCCTTACAAACGCTGCTGCATATTGCACACTGAGTACGCAGGCCTTGTCATAGTCCGTATGCGCATGAGTATCGTCATCACCCATCAATACTGGAATTGACATGTTCGAAGCGCAGCGCCTTTTGACATAACCGAAGAATCTTTTTGGATTCTCTGAAGCTTCGTCTGCTAACTCTTTCTAGAAATTGAGGCAAGCAACCCTTAGGTGTTGCTTACACCTATTTCTAGCCTTACGGTACCTGTCATAAGTATCGGTAGACGGATAATCTCGGTAAGTCCGCCAACATCTAGACCTCTTTGTGAGCAGATGCCTGCCAGTGGGATCTATCCAGGGCGGCTGCGCTCGGGCCTCCTTTCTCCTTCTGACTGGGATGAAGGGAGCAGAGACCTCTGTGAGGTAGGACTTAAATTTATCCCAGGCAACCTCGACAGTATCCTCCTCTGAGATCTCACAATGGAAACCAGTAGCCTTGGCTCTCATTGATTGATAGACTGCTTGCCATATGTTCGGGCGAGACTCAACAGTGCTCTGGTAGCGTCTAGATAGGGTACAACTGAAGAGCAAACAAACATGATCACTGGAACCCAGTGGAGGTCCGTAAGTAATGTCATCAACAAAATCGAGTGACCTAGCGAATACAAGGTCTAAGATAGACGGTACATGGGCGTCCATGTACCTAGTGGGGAGGCCAATGAACTGGTGCAAAGATACTTGGAGCGTAAGTTCAAGCAGATCAGCGCCGAATGTGCCTGACGCTGAGCCGCAAGAAAAATCTGCCCAGCAAATCTCTGGGAGGTTGAAGTCGCCCAGCACCAAACACTTATTTGCGGACTGGGAGCGAATGAATTCAAGTACCTCTTTGGATACGCTCCCAGGGCTTCTATACACAATTACAACGGTAACCTGAGCCGAAGATGTGCTAATACCAGCCGATAGAGCTTCAACAGTTTTGTCTGCCGACTGAAATAAGCAAGTCTTCAAAACGTAAGTTTACAGCTCACATAAAGTGCGACGCCCCATCCCTGTCGGCCAGCAGAACGATCGCATCTAAATAGTGCGTAGCCAGATAGATGTACTTCACCATCCGTGATGTCCTGAGACAGCCACGTTTCAGTGAATGCGAGTATATCGGGATGAGACCCATCTACAAGCAGACCTAACTCGTACACCTTATTCCTTAGGCTGCGCACATTACTTAGCACTATCTGAAGGTTTTCGTTAGATCCAGACCTGGGTCGTGCGCTACCAGAATGGGCAGTGGTAGGGCGGAAAAGGACCGCCGGCTGACCACCCGAAAACCCACTAACCGGAGACCTTGTTCACCGGCCGCTCGCCTGCTTTTGAGGTCCTTGATGGCCTCCCTTAGCTTCAGCCTATCGGCTAGCGGAAGGTCCGGCTGAACGCTAATATTGTACCTTTCAGCTTAAACGCAAACCGCATGAGAGCATTGCGTTCCTCTGGGGTAGAGAGTACAAAACGAAGTAGCCGCGGTCGCGGGTTTGGTACGTTAACTGGGACGTTCCCCAGTCTAATCAGCTTCCTGACAGTAACGCCTGGAAAACCAGGCGGAAGAAGCTTCGTTACGCACATTTAAACCATTGAAGGTCGTCCAACATGCGATCAGCAGGAAGGACAGCAGTAGATTCAGTCATCATCATCATCATTATACACATCAGCTAGAGGTGGGAAAAACACCTCCGCTATTGTGCCGCAATACATGAAGAAAATACATACATACATACAATACAATACACAAAGGAGAAGTAGATACAACAGTTGCATGCCAGCTGAGCTACCAGCAACGGATAGGCATCGTTCCGGTAAGCTTCCAGCTAGCTACTAGGCAAAAAGAAAAAATGTTATGTTTTACCCTAGGAAATGAGATCGTAGATGGATGGGGAGGCTAAAAGGGATGGGGAGGGACAAAGAAACTCACAGCATGAACGCCACTGAGGTCGGCTCCTTGCCATGTCAGCAAGTGTATCCAGCCAAACGTGTTCACCGTCTTTTGGACCCCAACCAGGGAGCCGTGAAGCTCCAACCGAGGCTAGCTCCGAGGTGAGGGACTTCATTCCCCTGGACCAAGTCATCGCTTGGCCACCTCTCCTCTTCTTCCACCCACATCCCCGGTGAGCAAACAACGCACGTCGAGGGAGTCGGTGGGCTGGCATGCGTAACACGTGGCCGAGCCATCGGAGCCTGGTGCGGGAAATAACGGTGCTGAGCGGTTCAGATCCTTTTCCTGGGCCGTAAACAATGCGTCGAACACGCTCGTTACTCACGCGGTGTTCCCACCATATGTGAGCCAAACTGCGAAGGCACCGATGGTCGAACGTAACTAGCCTCTTCATGTCCGCCGATCTTATGGGCCAGGTTTCGCAACCGTACAGTAAGGTCGAACGTACCGCTGCATTGTACACTCTACCCTTCAGGGCGAGAGTGATGTCGCGCCGCCGCCAAAGGTGGCGAAGGTTAGCAAAAGCACTTCGAGCTTTCGCTATACGGTTCGTGATCTCGTCTTCGATCCCAAGGGCGCTGATACAACTTCCCAGGTAATTGAATTTCTGAACGACTTCTAGCTGATCCCCACCAAGGGTCAGCGCAGGAGGCGATCCCTGCCAATCTTGGAGGAGCGCTTTGCACTTCGATGGTGCAAAGCAAAGCCCGAAGCGGCTGACAGCCAGTGCTAATCTGTCTAGCGCGGCTTGGCACGTCTGGGAGCTGTCACAGATGAGGGCAATGTCGTCAGCATACTCCAAGTCAAGAAGTCGTTCTCCTGGGAGTAGCTCCACACCTTCCAAGTCATGTCCTGTAAATGCAAACTCCATGACTTCGTCAATAGCGAAGTTGAAGAGGAAAGGTGACAGCGGGCATCCTTGTCTCACACCGCTGGAGATATTAAAGGGTGGCGACAGCTTGCCGTAAGCCCTCACTCTGCCCGTGCTACGCGCATATAATGCTTGGATAATATTTACATATTTCTCGGGCACACCTTTCCTGAGTAGACAATTCCAAAGGGCACATCGATCAACCGAATCGAAGGCACCTTTGATGTCGAGGAACACGACTACGGTGGGCCGCCAATATGTGTGGCGGTGCTCCAACAACTGACGCAAAGTGAAGATGTGGTCAATGCAGCCACGACCACGACGAAACCCGGCTTGCTCTTCACGAATCTGGCTTTCACGAGCGCCAGTCAGTCTGTGAAGAATTATGGAGGCGAGTAATTTGGAGGCGATGGAGATCAGACTGATTCCTCTATGGTTGCCGCATTCCGAGCGCGAGCCGCCTTTGAAGATGGGAACAATAACGGAGCGGCTCCAGTCGGTTGGGACAGTCTCCTGCTCCCACAGTTTCACTAGTAATTCATGCAAAGCATCCACAAGAGCAGGGCCTCCGAATTTGAAGAGGGCTGGAGGAAGATCATCTGGTCCCGCGGCTTTGTTCAACTTCAACAGTCGGATCTCACGTTCGACTTCTGAGCGAGAGGGTGGATCCAAAGGGACAGCCCACGGAGCAGGGCGATCAGTGACCGGCGAATCGGACAATTCTAGCCGATTAAATTGCTTTTCAAAATGCTCAGCCCAACGCTCCAAACGTTTTGACAAATTGTGGATAGGCTGTCCACTCTCATCACAAATTGTTTCACTAACACCAGGTCTCCTGCTGCCCGTTTCCCGTATCAGACGGAATAACTTACGATGGTTGCCAAGGGCAGCGGCCACTTCCATCTCTGACGCACGATGAGACCACCAAGATTCGCGGTCTCTCTTCAGGCTAGCACGGAGTTTTGCCCGGAGCTCTTTGCGAGTTTCATTGTGTTCGCTTCCAGCCGGGATATGCCGGCGAGCGTCGATAAGTTCCAGAGACCGAGAAGAGACCCAATGTCCATGTGGGCTTTTAGACATACCACATGAGGATTTGCCCGCTGCTAGTAAGGTCTGGCGAACATGTGACCAGTGACCATCAATTGTCTCCAGTGAGCGAGTACTCAACTCGCATGTCAGCGTACTTTGATACGCATTCAGAACAGCTGGCTTTGTCAGTTGGCTGGTGTCAATGCGCTCACAGCGTCGTCGTGGGCGTCCTCCAAAGCGCATCCGCATGTCAGCACATACAAGTGCATGATCAGTGTCCACACATGTGCTCCAAATCGAGCGACAATTCTGGATGCAGCCTCTCCAGCGGTAACTAATAGCAATGTGATCGATCTGCGTCCAAGGCTGGTTCGAGGCTGGTGGGCGCCAAGTCACCCTCCGGCGGGTGCTGTGTCGGAAATTAGTGCTCGCAAGAAATAAACGAGCATCTTCACACAAATGAAGTAACCGCTCACCGTTATCATTACGGGAGCCTACACCGTGCTGACCGCCCAGATGCATTTCATCAGTGGACAACTTTCCAACTTGTGCGTTCATATCCCCCGCCAGAACAACAGTGTCCGTGCTTCTTCTGTGGCGAAGGAGCTGAGTCAGTTGGCGGTAGAAGTCGTTCTTTACCGAATCATCGCTACAGTTTGTGGGCGCGTAGGCAGCGATGATGAATAGACATCTATTAGTCCCGCGCGACTTCGAAGCTTTAGAGGAGCCAGCCAATCGGACCGCACACATCCGGCTACTGATTGGAATCCAATCAACCAGAGCAGCTTCAGCCCGGGGACTCAGAGCAATGCCAACACCAGCTTGGCCGGTGCTCGAAGCTGCATCGTCACCGGATAGGCGCAATGAGAAAATACTGTTTGCGTCACCTGAAGGGGATCGCAGAGTGAGCACAGAGCTCGAGTCTTGCAGGCGGGTCTCTGATAAGCAGCAGATATCGATCGAGAGGGTCTCCAATGTTCGGGCAAGTGCTGCCTGTTGACCGATCTGTAGTAGTGTGCGTACATTAAGGCATGCCAATCTGAAGGAAAATCGAGGGCTCCAAATGGAAGCCGATGAACTGGAATGGACCGCTTGGTTGGACATGGGCTTGTCGACAGGAGAGGAGTGACGCTTCGCGTTCACATGTGAGTTGAAACTAGAAGATAAATGCCTAGCAAAGCATGTTGGGGGAGGGCCAAGAATCGGGGGGTTGAAAACTGGGGGGATATAAGTGAAGTTGGAAGG